TTATCACTATTGTCATTACTATTGTTACTATTATTGTCGTTATTATTTCTATCCTTATTATCATTATCATTATAATAATCTTATTATTACTATTATTATCATTATTATCATTATGATTACTATCATTAATATTGTTATTATCATCATTATAATTATTATCATTATCTTTATTATCTTTATTATCATCATTATCGTTATTTTTATTATATCATTATTATTATCATTATGTTAATAATTATTATTATTATTATCATTATGTTAATAATAATTATTATTATTATCATCATTATCGCTATTACTTTTATTATTATTTTATTGTTATTGCTATTGATACTATCATCATTCCTATCATTCTTATTGTTATCATCATTAGTATTATTATCATCATTATTATTTTAATCATTATTATTATTACCATTATTATTGAAATCATTAATATTATTATCATCATTATTATTTTAATCATTATTATTATTATCATCATTACTATTTTAATCATTATTATTATCATCATCATTTATCATCACTTATCATTATTATTATTATCATCATTATTATTTTAATCATTATTATTATTATCATCATTATTATTTTTAATCATTATTATTATCATCATTATTATTTTAATCATTATTATTATCATCATTAATATAATTATTATTATTGTCAACGATATGCTCAAGGCTGGATGGTTCCCTCTTTCGCACCTGGGCCTCGGCAGCTGCCTTCCTCCTTCAGCGGACACAGGTGTTCACTCTACTTTCTCTTTTGGCACTTCTACGGCCTAAGCAAGCAAACGCCCTCACAAGGAATAGCTGCATAAAAGGACGTCTCGTCAGATAGCAGAGGCAGAACAAGAAGCAGAACAGAGCAGGGAGAGACAGGGACAGATGACAGTCTGGCTCGTCACCGCTCCACCTTTGGCACCCGGGGTACAGGTCTCTCGTGGGGTCACACATCTACCTCCCCCAATAAACCCTCCAGCCAAGATCCCTCTAGGTCCCAACCTTCACAATGCTGAATGTTCCTGTTACCAATGATATGCTCCTGCCAAAGTGCCTCCTCACCTCCCTTAATGCCCAGCCATCGCTACCAAGTCCACTCCCGATCCACGCATACCCACACCATTTCTGCTGCACTACTTCGTTCTGACTACTCACGCTACCCTCCCAACAAAGTCGCTGAAGATGTATCCTCGTACTCTACGATGCCACACTAGCCAATCCGGCTCACCTGCCCCATTAAATCTTCACGAACCCTTTTAAGCACAACCATGATGTCACACTTCTACCCTACACCACCATACTTCCTTGACTAGCCTCGACTTAATACAGGAAAATAAGAAAGGATGAGAATACAAGAGAAGAAATGCACCATCAAGGTACGATCCGAATTTTACTGTTATAATAAACTTCTTGCTAATTATTAGAAAGCTGTTGTCCCTGTTGTATCGATGCCAGAAGTTAATTGCACATATTGCCGCCGCACTTGCCTTCTAGTCGCTACTTTCTAAAGTAAAATCCACTACGCCCAGCCACCTTACAGTTGTAAAGGGTTGCCTCTGGCCTCCGTTACTCTTCAACTTTAATGAAAACTACATGCTAAAATACTACTGAACTCTAAATATTATACATAATTTATCTCTTCTTCCTCTCCAATCTGACTGTTTAAATACTTAATTTATGGTTTTAAAACAACACAAACACCCATAAATGGGTTTAATATAATGATAACAGTCAACTCGAATGACGAATGTCAAGGACCTTCAGGCTGACAGAATCTATTGTCCCCCGCAGACCTAGTGATTCGAGTATGCGTCCCGACATCTTAGCCGGTACCCATTACTGTTATATCCTTTTAATTGTTATAGATATTGTATTAGGGTTTTTTTTTTTTTCATTTTCAGCACTTTTTAACCTGATGACTCGGACTGTCATGTGGTTCTCGAGGCCTCAGCGGCGGTCTTCCTTCTGATGGAGAATTCTCTCCTCCCCCACCCAGGCATTGTTCCATATTCCATCATTCCATCACAACTGTAGGATTACTTAGCACGAGAGGGCTCAGCATCGAATTTTTAATAGCATGTTAGTAACTTGTGCATTATCTGATCGCGTAACAGATTCCTACATCATTAGCCGTTGTGGACTAGAACTATCTCAGCTGCGTTAACCGTTTCACCGTGAAAACTGCCGATATTTTTGTATGATGTAATGATGTGGGATGTATATAAATGAGACTGCACTAGGATGTACTCACGTATCACGTCAGAGCTGAAAAAGCGTAATTATAAATGTTCCGAGCTATCCGCAGAGACACATCTGGGAAGGAAACTAAATGAAAATAGACACAGGGCCAACATGAGTGATAATTGTATGACGACGTCGTTGCTAAGTCACGTTTCTTCTTCGAGTTGCAGCCTACCCGTGCAGTGGGTTACTAAGAGGTATTAGCAACAAATAAGTAACTATAACAAACAAGGTAATCGCCAGTGAAATTCTAGGATGCAACAATATGTGCGCGAAAGCATTGCTTACTGCGAAAAGCCAAACATCCTTGGAATGCTGTAGGTATTGATAGATGGTAGATGCTGATGCTCAATGTTCAGGCTACTTGGAGTGATGAGGATCTGTCATGCTACCGGCGCGAGTTGAGCCGTCGAGGTCAGTATTAGAGTGACAGGCAATAAGCATCAACTGATTTGTAGTTTTCCTTGGTCTTGGTCGTAGAGCCTGGAACGAAGGTTCTTGTTGAAATATTCAAGCGTTCCCCGTCGTTTCGGGTATGGAGCCGATTTCAGGGAGACCCTAAAATTAAAAAAATAGTGTTTTCTGATCCTATGGGATATTCAAAGGTTAGGACTCCCTTGGCTGGGATACGCTGACTGAATTTCAAACAGAACAGAACAGCAAACTGTCATTATTTCAAGACAAGGTCAACTTTAGCACATCGCCAATTAAGAATCAATGCAGATGGTCATACGTGGGTGGGGCTGGGGTCCTCAGTAGTCCTTTAGCCCTTTTTTTCAAAACCCGTGAGAGACGACCTTAGTGTCCAGATAACCTCGAGATCATTCACTGGAAACTGCCAAGAGGGCTGTTAGACACGTTTACTATGCAGATACATCTGGTAATACCTAGTCTGGTAAGACATGCCTCAATCAGAGTCCCAGCATTTGTCTGGACCTTTGTGCTCTGCGCTGGTGGCAGCGGTAAACCCCTGTCTCGGTCTAAGCAATCTAAGAATGGTAGTCCCAGCCTATTCCCTTGCCACAAGGGATGATTTGGGAAGCAAATAAAACAAGCATTCAACAGCAAACGAAGGAAATCCATTATAAAACAATGGAATAAAAATTAAATTTTTAATTTATTCAAAATATTTTCATTCTTTGTGTCTGAAAGAGTGTTGCAAGGATAAGTCTTAATACATACTAAAGACTTATATCAAACTTTCAAAGCTGAGCAAAATCAAAAGCTACGGCTATGAAAACCTAAAGCTGTCTATAACAACATTACGGACAGGGTTGGAGTCGCAATAAATATGTACTGTTCCAGTAGATAAGTTGTGATGGAATCTTTGTGAAATGGGGTTAAAGGAGTTGTCAACACCTTGGGGGTATTACAAAGTAAGGATCACCACACGACTTAATATAACATATGCCATAAATTATACTCACATTTTCCAAGGAGATTCACCACATGTAGATACCGGACTCTGGCTATGGATCCGAACCAAGAGAAGACTAGTCAAAGTACTTGACCCAGGGAAACCATACAGGAGTGGCACGGACCCAAATGAGCAGCAGGAAACAAAAGTAGCTAATGAGCGTCTCTAGCTGATATGTCACAAGCCGAGTAATGATTCAAAGTAATACTGATGTAACACTATCACTGTGTCCGGTCCATTATTATATGACCTGCATGCTTCTATCCTGTCGCCTCTGATCGTGTTTCCCCCAGCACAGAAAATTAAAAAGAAAAATTTGGAGACAAATCCAAAACGAAAGCAGCCAGCGATCAATTCCCTGGGTGTTTCGCCCAAGATGCACAACATCATGGCAATGTTACGTTTTCAGATGCAGAAGCAGACTGCCTATCTAATGATCACCTTAATCTCAGAGGAAGGCGTGATACATGCCATCCTTAGATATCACCCGGGTCGAATCTCATGACAAGGCAGTTTCTTAATTCCAAAGGGTATATTCAGACTGAAAAAACCTCGCCAAATCATGAACAACTGAGAATACAACAACATGGCAGTATTAACAGATGCTACAAGCAAGACTTGAACCTAGCTGTTTTTGAGCGAGACAACGAACAGCAAGAACAGGCTCAACTTACAAAGAGTGGCCATAGTGCTGTTTATTATTAACTGTGTGTGTGATGTCTATGTCAAACGATAATTATAAAGATATTTATTTGAGGGTATGATGATTACATCAGTCATTCGAGAAAGATGGTCATTTTTACGGAGCTATGCCTGCCTAGTTTGTTATTAAGCAGAACTTTCAGACACAAAAAGCCAAGCTGATCACGCAATCAAGGGCAATATAGAACACCCATGGTCCACGACTCCCCATTATGTGGAACCACCAAACCCTGACATTAATGAAGGAAACCCCTGTTGTGGGCAAATTACCTTGATCGTGGTAATCAATCTTGAGCTTATCAAGGAGAAAAATTCATTACTCTATGCCTAGATTAAGGCACAAGTCCAAAGGGTCATTGCACAAATAACTTCTGGAGGTAGTAGAACCTACCTCACAGATGGGTCCATGGATCCCATAAACCACTGGCTTTGCAGGAAGGGTTGCTACAATATCCATTAGGGTCACTGACAATGCATCATCACTCCAAGCTGAAACAGTTGCAATCATTATAGCCCAGGCCCACGCATCCCTAAGGGAAGGACGCCTGGTCATATAGAATCCAGATCAGCTATTGACTGTCTACAGCACAGCATACCTAACAGCATCTACCTCTTGACCACTGTCCTCACTATAG